TCTCCTGATTTGTGTTTGGTATTTCATGTGCACAAGTAGGCATATTTGGTGAAGTTGTGCATGTATGTATGTTTGCATGTATGAATGTAGTTATGGTGTTAATGAATGATCGTGCAGTGGACTGATTGCTATCCTACATGAGGCGAAATGAACGAATGTGTGATACATGTGCATTACACTGTGTTATGTGTATATGTGTGAATATGTGTACACTGGAAAATTTGATGTGTCGATAGTATTGATGAGGTTGGTTGATGTTGGTTGATTGATGATTGTTGTTGTCCTGGTGATTGAGATGACAGTGATTATTGTGTAGTTATGTAAGGATATTCGAGATTAGATGGGTTGAGATGAGGAATTAATTTTGTCTGTGTGAAATTGCATTTCAGGTAGTGTGAAGGCGACCGACGTGGATGGCGAGTGTGGGACAGTGGGTAAATTCTGTGATATGAGTGGATCGCGAAACTGCTGTCCTCCACACGAATGCAAAATGTTGAATGAGAGAGAAGGCGCGTGTGTCAGGGGCGCGAGTTGTTTTAAAAGAATTGATTTCTTGATTTGAGTTGCAATGTATAGTGTGCTTTGTAATTTGGCATATACTCATGCTAAAATATTTGGGAGGTACTGGCTGTGAACGGCCAGTGGTTAGGAATGAAGACAAACCCATTCTCTTTGACAGTACGCCAGACGAAGTATCGCATAATATACCAAAGGAGGTTATTAGCCAGTATGCACTGAAGAGTCAGTCTTCTGAATAAACGATGTCGAAGATAATCTCATGTATATGAAATGTACTATCTGTGTAGGATTTCATAATGAGCTGACATCTGTTAGACAACCATTGGTCCTAATCATATAGGTGGTAACCTGGGTTCCATTGACATGTGTCTTGTTCATTCTGTATTTCTGTTGTTCACTGTCAAGTAATAAATCATTGTTTGTTATACCAGACTCCCTTTTGCTTATGTTATGCTTCAGTGTATGTTGAATATGTGAAATCACCGAATAAGGACTGTTTGACAGCAGCTTTCAATTATACGGTTGCGATGTTTCACGCGTTATGCGATCTTTAGATTGATGAATGTCTCAAAGGTATTCTCATATAGTCACAATGTCCGACGCTTTCTCTTATAGCCTACATATCCTGTTTCCCTCGAATTTCTTGCTCACCAATAGAGCAGAGACATTGTCAATGCAAACTACAGTGTGAATCGTCGGGTTTATATCAGAATGTACTCTGTCCAGTGTTTACTACTTGATGTGATTTGCAAAAACTTTCATTCCAGTCAACACGTTTCACTGGGTTACAGGCCCACTGTTGCTAGACGACGGCGTCAACACATATAAATTCTCCAGGATTGTAGAGGTTACAGTCACAGTGAAGTCGAAATCCTGATAAATTCTCTTGATTGTGGAAAGCCTGTTTTCGTGAGTTTCAACTCTCGACGGCTCCTCTTCGTTATATTTGACTGTGATAAATCTGGTTGGATAGAAGTGGTGGTGTGACGCCATGTCTACCGTAACATCAGTATATTAGATGTTGTTCAACCGAGAAGCCTTACCAGAAATGGACTGGTTTTTCTGGGTAGAGTAGTGACCATGTGGACACCACTCCAGTTTATCTGGGGCCATAAGGAAAGATCAATCAAATCGATACTCATGAGAATTCGCATTGAAATGGAGCTGATCTAGTGGGGAATTTATCCTCGCGACTGTAGAAAAATGTCTGACACTACAGTGATAGTAGCTAGTCTTCAATTTTCAATGTCTGGATGAGCATTGTTTGTTGGAGGACAGTTCCCTTGGCCACATCATTATTCGGATAAATCAAAAAGAAAGCTGATCAGATGATAACCGGTGAACAACCTGCAGCTCAAAAAATCTTCAAAAGGAAGTTGTGATCCACTTGATGTGCTCTGAGGATATCTTCAAGTGACACCACACAATATGCTCTCAGATATAACCTGATTGACAGACGACCGGTTCCAGCTACATCCGAGTTTGACATGGATGGCATAATGTGAATGAGAAGTGGAGGCATGTTGGTAGTTTTGTAGACAGCTGATATTATTGTTGGTGAACAGAGTACAAAAGAGAAGTCTACAAATACCCTATTTTCCACTCGGGAGTCAAGAAGCTAAACAATAGTAAAACGTATCCTGTGATAGTATAAACAATTCCTGATATGCAGGATAATCAGTTATCGCGAAGACTTGATATCTGGCCATGCAATTCCAAACAGGAGACTTGGAGAAATAAATGATTAGCAATGCATGTGCACTGAGGATTGAGAAGACTGTTGAGGAATACATCACCAAGCCCTATGACAAACTGTCCACAGTCGAATATACCTGTTTCGAGCGCAGCAAACAACTTCCGATACCTGAAATTCCAAATAATGTCAGAGGATTTGATCATGATTATTATTCACGCTCTCGTTGTGATCTACAAATATATCCTGTAATTGCATATTCCGCCTGTTTAATTTCTCTTGTCTCACACAAGCCACATAACTAGATGAAAAGTCATCGATCGAATCATGTGCATCGTCACATCTATCAAAACCCAGTGAACAACTGATGTTAACATGGATAAGATTTATTAATCATACACTGCAGTGTGACAGAGACACCTCAGCGCGACTGGTATCAACTAAAGTCATTGGCGCTGAGAATTAGTCTTCACACCCAACCTGTTTAGACCCACATATTTTGACGTCACAATGGAAATTAGAAAGCCACCTACATGATTATGACCAATGGTTGTCTAACAGAGGTCAGCTCATTATGAAATCCTACACAGATAGTATATTTCATATACATGAGATTATCTTCGACATCGTTTATTCAGAAGACTGACTCTTCAGTGCATACTGGCTAATAACTTCCTTTGTTTACCTTAGTGATACTCTCGTCTGTCTTACTGTCTACTGTCTAAGAGAATCCATCTGTCTTTATTCTTGACGATTATCTGGTCACACCCACTACCGCATAAATGGTGTTTCCTTAGTACTCCTCGACAATTTTGTGCATTGAGTTATCCCAATAGATAGCACTTATCTGAATGAAACTCAAACTTAAACGTCATCAAAGTACTCACTACAAGTTGATTTTGCGCACATTGATATCCTTGCAGAATAAACTTCATTTCCTTATGACGAGGGAAACTTAGGTCTTAGCTCAAAGTATTTCGTTCCGAATCCACATGGACGTGATGATGAAGGAGCAGTCATCTTCGAGTATCTGTTTTCACTGTAAACTATGAACCTCTTTCTTGTATGATGATATACACTATTGAGTAGTTGGGTACTACTGACTTCGACCAGTAGTATTGGTTGACAGACTGGAGTGACCTTAACACCCGATGGTCACTTGAACTGGATCAGATCGCCTGTGAACTCGAACTATATTCAAATCAAAATCTACCAGCCAGTGTCGTCGTCGGCGAGTCAGTGTCCTGGATACTGCTGATTGCGGTCATGACTGCTCACCAGATTAATTACTAAGTGTTGGTTTTCAACGACTTGATTACTTACGGTGTTGGTGTGAGTGTGTCATCGTTTAGAGGAGTCATGGAGAAACCAGGATATGCTGGTCAGCTGTTTGACTCCACTCACCGTGATTCGAATCTGGGAGCTTCCAGTTACAAGGTGAGCGAATTTCATTCAACATATTACCCGTGTGATCAAGTAGCATGTTTGGAATAGACGGTGGTCTGGTATGTTTAGGCCCTGAGGTGTTTGGGTAGGCTGGCTCGATCTGGCCACATAGCAATTCTGCATTATCAGAGTGGTATACAAATACTCATATCAGACAGTCAGTCAGTCAGCCATTTGTAAATGTCCGTATGAATCTGTCTTCTCCTCCGTGATGATAATTAATCTTGTCAAGCAAACCACATATTGTGATCTGGTTAATTTCGGTTTCGAAGTGAAACTGTGGAGAAATCATACCTAGAACAGTTTAAAGAGCAAACCACGAGGTTGATTCCGTGGAAGTGTTATTCACACTGTTTGTATGGAATTGTTTTGAACACTGATTTAGAAAGAGACACTATCAACACGCTGAATTCGTGTGCATAATAAACTCGATCTAGTTGGAAGTTCTTAGGCCTAAACTCAAATACAAATTATTCTTATCATTATTAAAATGATCGATGCTGTGATCTTAATTTGGAACGAGAACTTTATTGACTCATCAACTTTGAAATATGACTGTTTGTTTCAATGCCTGAGAAATGGTTGCATCAAAATAATCCAATTTTTATTGTGAAACTGCTCACAAAATATATCTGGTTACGGTTTGTACATTTCCCGACTACCACGGTTTAGAGTTATATCATTCATTGTTGATTTGTGTTTGACCAGCAGATTAATCCATGACGTGTATCACCTTCTCGTCTATTCAATGTATCCATATCCGGCATAATATTCACCGATTCGAGAACACCTAAGCACACGGAGGAAGATGTGTGAGACCAGCATTTTCATAATGAGTATAGTGTCAACTTGGCTAATGCATTCAAAGTAGTGTGATATGCATATGGATGAAGTCAGCCATAATTCAATTCCTCCATTGGGAAGCATTTTGACGACCACAAAATGAACCGGAGCCTCCGAAACAACAGAGAGACAGTCATCACCAGTGTAAATGCGTTCAGGGTGAGGTGGAAACATTTGCTCACAGAATGACATCAACAATAGCTAGCTGACAAATGACTCCTAATATTCCAACCAGAACATGCTCCATTGCACAGCAAATACAACGGTCAATAGGAAAGTCTACTCATACTGCGTATTCCCACATTCACAAAATTAGTTACTTTAAATAGCATGAAGACAAGTATGCTGAGATTATTTATTGAATGAATACAGTTAAAACGCCCAAATGTACAGGAAAATTAAAGAAAAATTTCAAAAGAGTTTATCGATAACAATGTAATCCATCGAGCAGATCAATGAGAATGGTATTGAGTATGTCCTCCAGACAGCCGTGTGTGGATGTAGACAGAGCGGTGGAACAGGGAGACAGATAGACGACATAGTTGGAGAGATAGATAGGTAGATAGATAGATGGACAGACGGATCTATTTGTCTTTGCAATTCCCATCAACACAACTCTGGCTGCAACACTCAGCGTCACTCTGACACTGTGATTTCGGTGGAAGACACTCACTCTCGCCCCTGACACACGCACCTTCTCTCTCATTCAACATTTTGCATTCGTGTGGAGGACAGCAGTTTCGCGATCCACTCATATCACAGAATTTACCCACTGTCCCACACTCGCCATCCACCTCGGTCGCCTTCACACTACCTGAAATGCAATTTCACACAGACAAAATTAATTCCTCATCTCATCTCATCTCATCCTATCTCAACTCACCTCACCTCACATACACTCACATACTCACGCAATAATCACTGTCATCTCCTTCATCAGGACAACAACAATCATCAATCAACCAACATCAACCAACCTCATCAATACTATCGACACATCCAATTTTCCAGTGTACACATATTCACACATATACACATAGCACAGTGTAATGCACATGTATCACACATTCGTTCAGTTCGCCTCATGTAGGATAGTAATCAGTCCACCGAAACATAATTCATTAACACCATACCTACATTCATACATGCAAACATACATACATGCACAACTTCACAAAATATGCCTACTTGTGCACATGAAATACCAAACACAAATCAGGAGAAATTGCAGACATCAACTCACAAGTGACAATTCAGCGATTCTCACTCACTCACCCACTGACTCACTGACTGACTCACTCACCGTGTGTGCTGCAGACGACGATGACAAGGACAGTGAACAAGCTGAAGACCAGATAGTGTTGCATCTCTCCTCCAACCGAAACAGCTATTCTTCGTGTTCTCTGGTTGAACAAGTCATTCACCCACTTATATACCCATCACTCATCTACCAGAGTGTTCACGTATCAATCACTATATTTTGGATGCTTTGATTCACATGAACGCGCTAATCTCGTCCATACTCATGTGACGATCATTGACACTGTCTTGTCGATGTCACTGTTTGTCAGACACTCGCTAATCTCTTACTCGACACACCACACCACACCACCTCACGCCAAACTCCATCCACCACACCATCAATCATACTTCGTCTCGTGTGATTTCGTGTCCGAATTTCGTGCTCGGATTAACTGTCATCGTCTTAACTTTGGTTTTTGCATTATCCAGGAGGAAGCATTTGCACGTATGACACGCTCACGTTATGGACTGACATTTACAGTCTTGATGGATTTACATAAAACTAATCACGTTGTATTAAGGTGGAACGTTCGCAAAGAAATAGCTTAATATTATTATCAAAACATCTTCATTCGTCCTCGACAAATAATGTTACCTCATTAAAACATTCATACTGAGACACAAGAGACATTAAGATGAACAGCTTCGTCTCCATGTCTTCATGTAATTGGTTCTCATGTGAATTGAATCCACTTACTTTTGATAAATGTCTTTCTTCATCACCAGTGTTTCTAATCTTCTCCCTAGTCTCACTCCTCATGGTGTCTCATCTAGGTGTGTTTCAAATCTTGGTTGATTTGAATATTTCCATAATATTACGATGGGGGACGAATGATCAGCGTCATTTACTTAATGTTTCACGGTAAGGGGTTTCTTAGTAATTGTGTGTCAATTAAGATGTGGCGGAATCTTCTTGTTTATTTGTGCAATCATCAAGTTTTTAAAATGCGTTCTTATCCAACCTGATTAGATGGAAGCAGATAGTTGTGTATAGGCAGAGAGGTTGGAATTGAACAAGATGGTATTCTATAATGTCTTCCTCGAGTTCAGGTATGTGTTTCATCGCCTCGCACTGAGATTATTGGTCATGTGGTTCGAAAAACTAAAGGGAAATCAATGAATCGTAAATGTAGACACTGAGTGATACCAGATTATGTCCACCTCTCGAAGTGTGATTTCAGATGAGGTGACGATGTAGAAATTAGCACACTGCGGGAAGACCGAGAAGGATCGGCAGAAATAAACAATCGAATCTATTTATCATTTGACGCAGTTTCAACTTCAATACCTTCTGTAATGCGGGTATCACGGTAAAGAACTAGTTCATGTATATCGAGCTTTGGTCTGAAAGAGAAATTTCGAAAATAGCTTAAGATCATTTGACAAGGATCACTGACAAATTTTGATTGTCAGATGTTGAATTTGGAACGATCTGAGTGAGATGTGATCAGCATTTGAAAAATGGGCTTACTGCTATCAGTGAGAGAATTCTATGTACCACTCGATCCTTCCGACGAGGCATGTTGAGGTGAGAAGAAGAGAGGACGTGAAATTCTTATAAGCCTGCCTATTTCAGACAAGAAATATCCAGTGGAATTTTGATATTGATGTCATGCTGTATTTCTTGAGTAAATACGTTCCAGTGTGTATCTTATAACATGCTCCTGAGTTTGTGGGTATTGTCCTCAGAATAACCCCTAATTCACGTTTCCTCCACAATGTGAGATTGGAGCAGGTTGTTCGGTGCAGATTTCCATATATCTGTTTTCCGACTATTCGTATGATAAAATGGTGAGAATTTAGAAGTGGGGTTCTTCGCTGATCTGGACATATCCCGAAGTCATTTGTGAACAGCGAATCAAGAATGTTGTCTAGCTGAGCTGAGTTGAAACGTTGGTGTTATTCCCATCAATCAATCAATCATGTAAGGAAACCGCAGTCAGTGGGACTGAAACCTCCAATCGCTAGTGGTGAATCTTTTCCAAGGCAGGTGGCAGCAAAATGAGTGAATTCACCAGAAAATCACAATCGTTAGAACAGAGTAAAATCAGGTACGGTAAAATTGTTCGTAGTGCAGGATGTGATTGTTCCCAGAGAGGTGTTTCAATCGACATTCCACAGGGACGAAATTGATCATTTTACCTGAGGAGATAAAACTCACAGTTTTGGAAGAAGTCCACTGAGAACTGATGAAAGTGGCGAAGCCAATATCGCGTAGGTAATCTGGAGCCATTGAGCCAGACTAAATTCTAACTGTAATTATTCCCGAATTGACAGCTTGATAAGGTAACCGTTAGTCAACTCGGAAGTTACACTCCGTATTCCACAGTCCTTCTGCAACACTGAAGCGAGGATTTCCGACGAGACCCATGATTCTGTCTTCAGAGCTTCCAGAAGCACAAATCGCACTTTGTGTTACTGTTAACCTGACTGAATGTCGGTTGGACAGAGTCCAAATTGTTGTAATCTCTATAAGCAGTTGGAGAGACAGAGTGACTACTGAATCCTGGTTCATTGAATCTACACCGAACATATGCAACAAAAGCGAATAGCAAAGATATGGAGGATATTATTACCAGTCGAATCAGAGGGTAATAAATAATCTTAGAATGTACTAAATCCACATTGTAACGAGTTATTTATTTTACTACAAGAAAATGTATTGCCCATGTTATTGACGAACAACACTCGTCGTATGTGTGTTTCTGTGTTTTCAGGACACTGAACCTGGCACTGACTGCAATGACAATGCAACAGTCAGTGTCTCTCGTCGAAATCACACAGTCAGAGTGACGCTGATTGAAGTATTAGGAATTCATGGACATTCGTTGTTTTCTCTGTAGTCACGTGTTCAATGGTGATGACTGTTTCGCCGTTGTTTGTGAGACTCCGGTTTCTTTTGTAATTATCAGAACACCAATCAGTAAAAGAGGGATGGATGGTGAATTCATCAACATTATGTTTGTGGTACAGGTTTGACAGGTTGATGTTGAAGTGTAGTTCACATTTCAACATTAAATTCGTTGACTTGTCTTCGAATCAGAGGACTCGGTTTGTCTGGATGTTCCTGGAGTCGCGATTGTTTTATCGGATTATGAGACTTGAATTCGCCTTATGTGCTGGTCAACTACTGGCCAACCAACATCCAATCCAACTTTGATATGATTGCAAACATGAACAATTGGAGAGCTTACCTACCGTCATCATACTTATGATGCACTCAGTTTCACAACATATACAACATTATTTCTACACCATTCTACACCACTCTCAAATAATGATATCAGCCGTCAATTTCCAAACCGATTCAGCTCTTGATTCAGATCGATTTCTTGGCATGAATAAAAATAAGGATCATTCCAATGTAGGATTCAGGTCAATGAATTTCCGAAAGCCTTTGTATTTTCACAGGATATTGCCACAATTTTTTGTTTTCACTATTCTCGATTTCCGAGTGCAAGACAGGGAATCCAATACACATTCTGGTATCACTGCTGCAGCGAGACGATGTCCTCGAATGCATATCACGTCAATCAGTCATTTCAAGTTAGACAGCTACGAAACCGTACCAGCTAAATTTCGCCGATTTTGAGATACTCTCCGCACAGCCTCACTACAAATGTCCTCACTGCACTCAGTTTGAGATGGGATAAAACGAAGACACCAATGTTTAGAAACGATGAGCCTGTTCATTGCTTCTGTTTCAATAGTTAAGTGTTTCAGTCGTAAAACTGTATAGATACAGGGAACTTCTCTGCATTTCACATTTCTTTGGAACAAGGCTAGTATAGTGTATACTAGTATGTGTATACAGACGAAGATAATGACAAACAAGATGGATTCCAGACCAATGACTGGGGGAATATGCGAAATTCACAATATTCAACTACCTGGATATCATCGTCTCGAATAAACGAACAGCAGGAATCCGCGTCGCCAATATAAATAGTTTAGGAAAATGGCATAGTGATCGCGATTTATTATTTTACGAATTTTGTTCAGTAATTGGCTCGATAGATCTCTCTCAGAGACCCAGTGTTTTCAAGAGATATAAATTTGTTTGGGAGAGTATATTCTGCTTACTGTCATCAACACACCCACTAGCTGACATGATTAACAAAATGAGACGACCAGCAATAATAGATAATCAAGAAATCACACTGATCACATCCGAACAGATCAGAAACACATAGGTGAAGAAATCTTCCGAGTAAATTTGTAATTTACCAGGAACACAATAAGCATATCTCCAAATAACGCCAGAAAATGTGCTCTCAGATACGACCCGAATGACAGACGACCAGCTGCAGCTATATCCGAGTGTGACATGGATGAGATTGTGTGAATGAGAAGTAGAGGCATGTTGTTAGTTTTGGAGATATCTTGTTAAATTTGATGGTGAACAGAGTACAACAGTTACCTCCACCAACACCCTGTTTTCCACTGAGGGGTCAGGTGGCTAATCAACAGACAAAAGTACCAGTCTGGTTCCCATTACAGGAAAACGAGAATAGGAATTCACTTAGTAATTCGCTTAAGGCAAAATACAACATAATTTCATATCAGGCCAGCGCTTGTTAAAAATTTGTTTGCAACAGACCCATAATGCTCGGTAATGTCTATTCTCCAGAAATAAAAATTGCACGTCGCTAATGCGAAATACACGTGGTCACTAATAATTCAAGGTGTCGTCCCAGCTGTCGACTCGCCTCTCACTGAGATTACTGGTCATGTGGTTCTGAAAACTAAAGGGAAATTCCTATCCGAATTCCAAATGGCAATCAAACGCCGGATGTGCAAATCTGTTGAGGACAAACACCATCGGGATACACGATATGTGGTCCGTTGGATCGCCTCACAATGACTTCTGTCATGTGCATGCATCAGACTTCACTCTCAAGGAAATATGACCGCTGACAATTTGTCACACCTACTAATTGTAATTGACTGAATAATGATGATGATTGTCTAATGTTATTTTGGTCTATTCTAAAATCACGAATCACTGTCGTGGCCGATGCTCATCGAAATGTAAATGCGCTCTCTTTGTTTGCCTGTTGAAAAGTTTTAGGGGAAGTGTTGAAAAAT